CAAATAAATTATTGATTTCTTTTTCTTCATGTGTCGACCTATTTGACATGAAATGTAAATGAGCAAGTATGAGTAGTAGTTCATAAAATTTTTTTTCTACTTATTCTTCTTGGCTAAATGAAATAATGTATAAGTCAACCCACACACATTACAACAGTTAAAAGTATAAATAATTGTAAATTCCGTTTTTATTACTAGAATTTTTTTCTTCATCTTGTGGTCTATATTGAAAAAAATTGCATGAAATGAAGTTATTGACTAACTACAAGAGAGTATGAGAGAGAGAGTGAGAGAGAAACTAGTGAAAACAATTTACATACAAAGATAATAGTGTTGTGTATTTTCAAAAAAATTATACTGTTATGTTTTTTTACACATTTGAAATCATCAATCAATCATTGTTAGACCACCATTAGAAACCTGGAAGCACTGGACAGCCGTTTCGTCCTGGTATGGGACTCATCAGCAGTGCGCATCCACGACTCCTGCTCCTCGCAGGACTCGAACCCGGGACCTTTGGCATTGTAGGCGAACGCCTTACCATCAGACCACTGGGCCGGCTTTAATGTATAACTCTGATTGATCTACAGATTTTGCGCGACCTCACCCATTTGTCTTTGGTAGTTACTGCCTATACCCGACAGGGTTGAATTCTATTGGTCACGTCTTCTCAACTAGAACTCCGAGAATTTCCTCACGAAGAAGCTAGTCACTAGTGAGCACTGTTACGATATTTTGGGGCACAGTTTTGGAGGTTTTTATTTTTACACATTTGAAATCATCAATCAACCATTGTAAGACCACCATTAGAAACCTGGAAGCACTGGACGGCCATTTCGTCCTGGTATGGGACTGACTCATCAGCAGTGCGCATCCACGACTCCTGCTCCTCGCAGGATTCGAACTGCTATGTTTATTGAATTTAAAATAAGTGGTGATTGTTCGTTTGTTTGATTGGGTTTTGGTGGATATGGGTGGGCTCACCAATGGTGTGGCAGTTGGTATTCGATAGAATTCCTTAGACTTTGTATACTTCTCGTCTTGAGAGATAACATCCAACGATGTGTGAAATTAGAAGGTGAATACGAAGTGTTGAAGATGATTATTTTATCATACCACACATAATAGAGGTCACAAAACCACAAGCATATGAAGTGAAAATGATATGTTAGTGTCGAAGAACAAGCGATCGAATGAATATATGTGTGTAGGCGGTAAGCAATGTTCACTTATGATCTGCTCATACAAACGCGACAGTAATTAAAGCACAATGGTACCGATGAGCTGTTGCTTATACGAATGACTGGCTTTTAAGATAAGTTAATCAAAAGGGTAGACTTAAATGTATGTGAGTTGCTATAGATTCCTATTATAATGAACGGAGACGTTCAGACTAGATGGAGTAAGAAGATTCAGTTTACTAGCGAAATGTGTACACTTTATCTTGGTTGTTTTCTTAAAAATATCTTCTAGTCTTCAAAACACTTTGTTTAGAGCATACATTCGAATCTGACACAATTCTCCTGAGAGACGCTACGATGCTTACTACTTATAAGCTAAGTAAGCATCGTAGCGACTTATAAGCTCGCTGCTTCCCGGGGTCTTGCTGGCGTAGGCATAGCATTGAGTCGTAGGGCAGAACAATCTCTCCTTGACTGGATCCCAATAGATAGTCGATTGTGCGCTGTCCGACTAAACGGGACAGTAAGGACTCGGAAAGATAGGGACAATCGCCGTTGCCTCTTCGTCGTATCTGCCTATGCCCCCACTGAATGCAGTTCAGACGAGGTTAAGGATGAGTTTTACAGAAAGCTTTCGGACCTCCTCCAAAAAGCTAGGCGCTCTGATATAGTAATAATGGCGGGTGACTTTAATGCTCAAGTAGGTAGACTAAGTGAGCAGGAGAGACACCTAGGTGGATGTTATGGTGTCGCGGCTCAGAGAACAGACAATGGTGACCGTCTGTTGCAAGCATGCTCAGACAACCGCCTATTCTTAGCAAACACCAACTTTAGGCATAAGGAAAAGCATCTGTTGACCTGGCGACCTACAAAGTCGTCTCAACGTTGGACTCAACTAGATCACATCGCCATCAGCCACCGATGGAGGGGTTCGATAGAAGACTGTCGCTCGTTCTGGAGCACATGTCTAGATTCAGATCATGCCCTAGTGCGAGCGCGTATTTGTTTGAAGCTTACTGAACGTAGGAAAGACACCGTAAGAAAGCCTCTCAGGGTTTTACTTAATGATAATAAGGCGAAAAATATATTTCAGGAACAACTAGAAAGACAGTTAGGCGACCATTTAAGCGATTCCCATCCGGAAGCAGGATGGAATGATATCAAAGAGGCTGTGGAAACAGCAGTGATATCTGCTAGTAAGGTTGACCATAAGGCTAGAATGAAACCGTGGATCTCAGTAGCATCCACCGATCTGATGGATACCCGAAAACTCATCCCACCTGACTCTGAGCATGATGAAGAACGAAGTCAACTTAGGCGCAGACTTATAAAAAGCCTACGTAACGATCGCGAACAGTGGTGGGTGGCGAAAGCAAAAGCGATGGAAAAGGCAGCGGCGATCGGCAACAGTAGACAACTTTTCCGACTTATCAAGGAAACTGGTATTAGGAATCCTAGTGTTAGTGAGACTATCTCAGAAAATGATGGGACTATTATTTATTCTCAATCCAGGAGACTGGATCGATGGGCAGAACACTTTAGGGATCAGTTCAACTGGCCTCGAGCCACTCTTCGGTTACCCACGATCTCCAGTCATCCTGAATGGCAAATCAACGTAAGTCCCCCTAGTCTTAATGAAGTTGAAAAAGCGTTAGGAAATCTGAAGCGAGGACGAGCTGCAGGTCCTGATAGACTGACCCCTGAAATATTTAAAGATGGTGATCCAGTTTTAGCAGCTAGGTTGACTGAGATCTTAGGTAGAATCTGGGAACTGGACATAATCCCATCCGACTGGTCTCAATCACTGATTGTCCCAATCTATAACAAAGGACAGAAGTCTTCTTATGACAATCACAGAGGAATAAGTCTAACTAATATAGTATCTAAAATATTGGCCTCAATAATACTTCGACGCTTAACGAAAGCTCGTGAAGAGCAGACTCGAGAAAACCAATCTGGTTTTCGACCTGGACGTGGCTGTATAGACCATATTTTGACACTACGACAGGTCCTGGAACACAGACACACATTTAGGCGTCCTATAATAGTTGTTTTCCTGGACCTTAAGGCGGCATTTGACTCAATGGATCGTGAGGTTCTGTGGCAGTGTCTGTCA